TTCTAATGAACAGATTCTAAGGGAGAAACAAAACAGAAACTTTCCCAAATGCTCTACTTTTTATTTCTTTTGGGTCTTCTTTTCGGAAAAGGGGCACTGGTGGCGCAGCAGTTAAGTATTCAGCTGATAACAGAAAGGTCAGCAGTTCAAACCCACCAGCCACTCCATGGGAGAAAGATGTGGCAGTCTGCTTCCAAAAAAATTTACAGCCTGGAAATCCTATGGGGCAGTTCTACCCCGTCCTATAGGGTTGCTAGAGTCAGAATCGACCGCAGTGGGTGGGTTGGGGGAAAACACTTTGGAACTTATTAGCAACTCTAATAAAGGTTAGCCATAAATGTTAAATCAAATAGGTGTAATGGTATTTCTAATTATTCATGGATCTCAACTATCCCCTTCTGGGGACCATTTCAAGCCAGCACACCAACCAGCGACAGTGACCTACAGTGTGAAATGTCCTTCTAGCCTGAGAGCAAACATTTTTAGGATACCCTTATATACTACTTCTAATTATAACATAGCACATAATCACCATTTCCCTAGTGGAGACGGTGGCAAATGCATCTGCATCTGCTTTAAGACATTGCATCTGCTTAAGACACTTGGAAAGAGAAGCGCTAGAGGAGGAAGAAGAGGTGAGAAAAAAAGAGATCCTGCATGGGGTAAGTGGTTTCCAGCAGCTCGTGATCCTGTGATCCTGTGATCCTGTGTTCCTGCAACCCTGTAGCTCCTGACAAACTTCTAACAGGTCTGCACTTCAAAGACCAGTAAAAGCTCAGGACACACCAGAGAAGGAGATGAAGCCTGACACTTGTAACATGCAACCAAATTCCCACAGGGGACGCAATGAGGCTGATAATTTTCCTGTTGCTCTTGTTCACAGTGTTATAATTTAATACAGTAGTTCAACTTCCTATTGCTCTTCCTTAGTCTATTCTAACCTCTCTAAACAGCAAGAAGAGAGATCAAGGATGACGGGAAGTTACTGATTTCTTCCTATGTTGTTCGCAGCTTCTCTCTAGCAAAAAGTAATTGGGGGAGGGAGCTGGAAGAGCAAGGAGAAAGGGTTACCAGGAGCAGTATGTGTACCTGGCTACTCAAATACCATGGGCTCAGAAGAAAAGGGTACAAATGAGCCCACCTATTGCTTACAGTCCACACCTACCCCCCACCCCTGGGTTATTCAGCACAAAGCACCCCGCGACAGCTTTAGCACCATGGTTAGTTAGGGAGGAGTCAGAGGCCTCTCACTCAAACCAGCTTTAACACGAACACAGGGGCTGTCAGCGGCAGAATGTTCTGGGCCTGGACCAGGCCTAACCAGCTCCAAATGAGCCATAAAGACCAGCTGGTGCTGGTCTCCTCCCTGCTTTTGCACAAACACAGAAACAGAAGTAGTAACCTTTCAACCATATTAGCTTACACTAGCTCAAGAGCAGACTAAGATCTATCACAAATCTTCTGATCTGTTCCTTCCTGAAGGGGTAACGCTGACCCTCTCCTAGACTAGATTATGGCAGTGGGTAGATACCTAAGAATTAGGATAAATGGAGAACATGGCCTCAAAACGTATTCCACTTGAAAACGTTTAAAATTAAAGTCCCTATTAGAGAAAAATTATTATTTTTGCACATTGCACCTCAGAGGCCTCTGTGTTCCCTACCCAACTCTCAACCCTGCCTGAGCCCTAAGCCATATCACCAGGTTAATAAGCAATCACTTCTTCATATGATTTCCATTACACTGGAGCTGGTGTCTTGGGTTCCATCTGTATAACGTGAACATCCCGCATTTTTTATTACTTTCCGAGCAACAGCATACATTAAGCAAACTTTGAACACAACAGTTCCACATTTCATCAAGGACTCTGGGATTGAAAGGAAAGGCTCTATTGGCCCCTCCACAATTCAATTTATAAGAAACTAGGACAGATTAATATTTTATGGAAGCATTTCTACTATCCCAAAAGCATGCTTAAAAATATGCCATTCTTTAAAAAGAGCTGTAATTTCAGGACATTTTCCTTAGTTTTCTTTTCTTCGTGTGATATTCGTGAATTTAAAATGTTCATGGGCCCTAACTTTGGTGGCATCTCAGCTAAAATCAAATACAGAATGCTAAACAAGGAGAACCCAGTGTATCCACTTCTAGAACTGTAATAAAGTAATTTAATACTGTAAATGTTTTTCCTATCACAGATACGACAAATGATTTCCAAGGATTTGTTCTTGACAGCTATTTTAAATCACCATGACTGACTTGACTATGATTCACTTAAAATGAATAAAAACTATATATACTGAAATGTTCCTAAATTCAAACTGTAAGTCTACAGAATACACTTTTTTCCTATTAAAAAACTGTGCAATATCTTTATTGATACTAACATATATGAACCTGAGTAGTCACTTCCACAGAATGTGATTCGTGCCAGAAAGCTTTATGTGAGGCTTTCTAGATCACAGTCCTGGCAGGTCCACCAGAAGAGGACAATTCATTTAATCTTCTAAAAAGTGAAAAAACACTCCAGTGATCCCAATTCCTGATACTGGTTCACAACTATCTGGTAGGGCTGGTGGCAAAATCAGGACTAACAGGATTTAAAGGGGCACCATTTTCTCAAATCCAGGATTGGGGCCACCGGAGCGAGAGAGCAGCCTGTCTTCTGGGTTGAAGTTTCTGGTAGGCCATGTGAGAGCACTATGCCTCCGAACTGAGAAGCTAACGGTTAAGGGGACAGGTGTAACTGTACTCTCCTAGTCTGATGAGAAGGCCTTTAGCTCTTAAAAAACGGACAGTCACTAAGCAAAGTTAGTGATATATTACAAGATAAAACCTTTCCTACCCTCTTCTCCAGCTCCCAAAAAGTATTCAGTGTGACATGATTGTAAACAGTTAAAGATCACTCCAGTGCTGTGCGCCCACCACAGTTGGGACACCCATTTCCTCCACATCCCCACCCACCCTTCCCACTTTATGTACAATACATTCACCACCAACAACAAAAAATTATTTTAAAAGGCAACAGGAAAATTCTGTAAACTGGACCCAGCTCCAAACACATTAATACCACGAGTAGTAAATTCTCTCTCCCTTCCCAAATATATACCTGAGTTTAGCTGCTCATGAAAGTTTAAAAACACCACTCCATTCTTAAGTATGCCCCCTTCCCCAAGTCTAGAATTATTTTCCCTGTACGAGAGTCTCAGGATTTGTAAAAGTCACCACTAATTCCACGTTCACTTGTTCTTCTTGACTGTCTACATCAGCTATGCAAGGGGACCCTGACCCAGGACCATTGCAGGCTGTGTGTTAATCATCTAAGGAGTGTGCTTCTAGGGCCCCGTGAACAGCTCCAGCTCTGGGATGGCAGGAAGTGATGCACTGTGAGGGTGGGGGGACAGGAACAGAGATGGGTGAGGATCGTTGCCCCAAATTCTCCATGTTCTAGACTTCATGTGCAGCTTTCCATTTCCTTGGGGGGTATTTCCTCCTTGGACTAGCTCTGAGAGAAAATAAAGTAAGACACAATTGTTAAAAAAAAAAAAAAAAACTCAGTAAATCGAAGAAAAAGCTGTACACGTTCCTGTACATCTGAGAAAATGGCTTTTTATTGTTGTAGTTTTTAAATTTTATTGTGGTTTTATACATATATATATAACCTAAAATGTGCTATTTTAAACATTTTTAAGTGTACAATTCAGTGACGTTAATTACATTCACAATGTGGTGCAATTACCACCTCTATCTAGTTCAAAACCTTTTCATCACCCCAAGAAGGAAACCCCGTATCCATTTCCCTTTCCCTGGCAACCACTAATCTGTTTTCTGTCTCTATGACTTTATTTATTCTGGATATTTCATATAAACATAATCATACAAAATGTGACCTTTGTGTGTGACTTCTTTCGCCGAGCATAATGTTTTCTAGGTTCATTCACATTGTAGCAAGTGTTAGCTCTTCATTCGTTTTTATGACTGAATAACATCCCACTGCATGCATGTGTTATATTTTGTTTATCCATTCATCTGTTGATGGATACTTGGGTTATTTACACCTTTTGGTTATCTTTAATAATGCTCCAACAAACACTGGTGTAAAAGTATCTATTTGAGTTCTTGCTGTTTGGGCATATACCTAGGAGTGGAACTGCTGGGTCATATGGTAGTTCTATGTTTAACCTACTTCACCATTTTACATTCCCATCAGCAATGAACAAAAATTCTACTTTTTCCACATCCTTGCCAACATTTGTTATTTTCCTTTTTTAAAATAATAACCGTCTTCATGGGTGTGAAGTGGTATCTCGTTGTGGTTTTGATTTACATTTCCCTAATGGATAATGATGTTGAGCATCTTTTTAGGGCTTGATTTTGTTTTGTCAATCGTGATTTACTTCCAGAGGATGGGCTCTGAAGTCCTTGACCTCCGATTCAAACCCCATGTCCCACCACTTAGTAGCTGGTAAAACTTCCTACATGTTAAGGGATAACAATGATGATGACAATTACATCATGTAGGGTTGAGGAAGGCATTAGATGAGATACTAGCACAGTGCTGGCACAGAACAGCAGTCAAAGGTGTCTACTCTTTTTCTAAAACTTGACTGACTAGTCTCCTCCAAATGAAATAGGCACAAAGAATAAAACAGACAAATAATCATATCAAAGGAAATGTCAGTAGCCTGCTTGGGGGGGAAAAAAAAAAAGAGGTTTAAATAGCCCCACAAAACCTAGTTTCCATATAAGAATAGGAAAAAGGAACATGTGGAAACAGCAGAGAAGCTACTTCCAAGTCCTCTTCTCTTGCTTTTTCCCTGTGCTCCCAGCTGGGAGCACAGGGTCCCAGTGGCCCTTCATACCTGGTTGCCTGCAGGACATCAAAGTTCCTGTATCGACAGGACACATTAGAAGACTGTTTCAGAACAGCAATTTGGTCCTGTACTTATTTCTGACCACCTGGAGTAACAAGGAAAGCTCTAGTATTCTATAACGCTTACCTGATCCAGAGGAAGTGTTGGGGGCTTATGTGGTGGCAGCTCTTCCTTCGATGTTGCTGGTGCTGGGGTCTTTGGGAACGAGGACTGTGAGTGGACAGGATGCATCTGCATTCTATAACCATAAGAAAAGAATGGTTAAGAATTAATGAAGGTATATTAATTACTAAGAATAAAAAGACATTTTTACCAGGAAGATCTCAGGCAGATACTGCCTTAATTATCCAGGTGTTTAACAATGGGACAAACTGATATGCGCTCCTGGTGTGATGCAATAAAAAGGACATGACATCACCTACACAGTATTCCCGACAAAAGTGCTTAATCTGACTCGAGACAATGAAACAAATCTAGAACCTGGGACACCCTACATGAGAACTGGCCTGGACACTTCGAAAAACAAAGCAAAATAAAACAACAACAACAAAAAAATGATAGGAGGATTGTAAATTAGACAGCCACAGCAACCAAATGTATAAATGTAGACCTTGATCGGACCTTGGATCATATAAAAGACATTCTGGGGACAACCAGGGAAATTTAAATATGGACTCTGTATTAGATACTATTAATGTTATTTTCCTTGGGCATGATAATAGTTTTGAGATTGTGTAGAAGGATGTCCTGAAGTATTTGGGGATGAAGATATAAAGCAAATATAGCTAAGTGTTAATAAACAAGATGTTGGGAAGGGTGTGGTGGTGGGCCAACGGGGATGGCACACGGGAGGAACACGCTGGTTTTTAAGTTGGGTGGTACTGGCTTCATGATTAGGCTTTATAACTTCAATATAAGCAACTCCATCTAACCATCTTTTATGTACTATTAATTTGAAAACTTTCTGGATTGCAGATCACCTCACTGGGTCTCGAAAGGATCACTACAGAAGAGTTCACATGGGGATAATACTTGACTTGTTCCAATTCTGGATAAACCTAATGTTTTTATTCAAAGATGGAAGAGATGAGAGATATGGAGTTAACACTTTAATATCACACATGACCTCCTCTCCCTCCTCCTCCTCCAGAGTTTGAGAGAGATCTCTTTCATCATGGTCAGAGTATCAAAACTGCCTCTGCCAACAGCTCTCAAACTGTGGTTAATAAGTTTCCAATATCAAAATCTAAACAGTCACTTAAATGCCAATTCCTTTTAATGAGGAAAAAAAAATGGTCAAAGATAAAATCTGGCTTTAAGCCAAATTAATTTCCACCAAGTCTCCAATATCAATGATTCACATGCTTTTCTTGGTCTTAGACCAACTGAAGTTTATCTTCATTCCTAAGGCCATTTTTCTTTTTATAATTCACACTTTTTTTCAGAAACAAACAAAAACAACGTAATGCAACCTTACCCTGATGGTCTGTACATTTCCTGGAAAGGTCCCCTTATCCCACTTCCAGTGCCAATTTGTTCCATCATTACAGCTTGAAAGTGACCAATGCCTTCTTCCTGGCAGCGGTAGATGGGGCCTTCCTGAGGGAGGCCATTAGGTTGGGCAGCCACTGGATGGTGAGGTGGGTGAGCAGCCACAGGGGAAGAATAAGCCCTGGGCTGGAAGTGACTGGCTGGCCGCTGAGGTGTATAAGGAGGCCCCGTTTGTAGCATCACACCACGGGGTGGGAAAGTAGATGAACCAAAACCCATCCCTGAACTCAGAGATGGAGGGGGAGTTCCATAAAGATATTCATTGGCTGACAATGAACTTTGTCGCTTGGTAGCTGCATTATGGTTGTCCAAGTCTAAAAACTCTTTGGGACTCTCTGGCCTCTCCATAGATTCATCCAGCTTCTCTTCCTCTGGATCAGGATTCTGCCCGTCAGTTGGGACAACCTTAGTAGCCACTGCATCCATCTGGGCTGGGGAAGTTAAGGCAGCATTCAGCGTCTCACAGCCTTGTAGGCTAACCATGGCATTCTTATCTGAGAAGCTGGGCCTTGGTGGGGGAGGCTGAGTAAATGGGGGCCCACTTGGGCTTCCCTGAGGATGGAAAGGTCTTTGCCAGTCAGAAAAGCCCTGTGGACATGTGTAATAAGGAGTTCGCTGATAATGATGATAGGAAGGCTGAGGCGGTGGCTGGTAGGAATACCTCATTCCTTGGTGGGGGCGATATCGGGGAAAGATGCCAGAATGAGGGCTATTAGATTGAAAGCCCCTAGGGGTGAAATGCTGAGGATGTGATACTGAGGACTTCCCTCCCATCACAGGGCCCACACCTTGCAGGCCTGGACTGATGTGGTAATGTGCAGCTGTATTTGGATACTCCAGGCCTGGCATGTACAGGGGAGAAAACTGGCTTACAGGGCCTCCCATCAAATTGGGATCTGTGTTGGGAGGCGTAGTTGTGTTCTGTCCTGTACATGGCATGGTTTCCTGCAATGTTTTGCCTCTGGAGCAGAGTGGCTTTTCTGAACCGCTACCACCAAGATTCTTCCCCTCTGATCCACAAGGGGATGGTTCACCAATCACTCCATTTTCAGGTAAAGCCCCTCTCTCTGCCACAGTGGAGAGGTCTCTCATACATCCTTGGGCAGCTGGGCTGCTGTAGCTGCTATCTGAGGGCCAGGTATTCTTCCCCTTGGTTGCTTTGCAGTTGTCTCCAGATTCTGAGGAGTCGCTTTTGAGCTCTGGGCCCTCTGTCTCCCCTTCTTGGGGTAAGCTCTGTCTGGTGCAGTCAGTCTGCAGAGGAGGTGCAGGGTGAGGTAGTTGTTTGAGGTACACCTCCTCTGAAGCACCAATGCTTGGTGGTTTCTCCTCAAGTGCAGGCAATGGCTCTGCTGCAAGAAAAATGGAGAACAAAATAAATTGGCAGCTGAAATGATAATACTTATGTAGGTGGTAATGAAAGCAACAAGCGGCCAGATGACAAATGGCAAGCTAGAAATTTTTAGAGTCCCTGAAAGGGGTCCTTTCACACTCCCTTTCATGGGCCTCTAAGCTACTCCTAAGGGCAGCCAAAGAATGGAGATCCTCTTGCCTCCCTCTTCCTGTGCTTTTCTAGTCAGACCAGTAAGAGGATGTAAGATACTTTATGACTTATGGACTCCAGGTAGATGCGTGTGAAATATGGCAGGAAGCTACGGTGTCATTAGAATTGCTGCTAGGCTGGGAAGCTCTGAAATTCACACAGTGAGGACCAGGGCCTCACTGACACCCAGGAAGGCCAGATCCCTGATTTCTGCTCCATCAGAATAGAAGCTCTACAGGAGCAGGGCCATTCCCTACTCTATTCTCAGTACTTGCACACAGTGGGGATGCAATATTTGTTGAATGAACATATTCATCTTGTTTGGATGGCTTGAAAACACCATGTCTACAGCATGAAACTAAAAAAGAAAATTCAATCAAATTAATATACTATACGCAAATTCTTAATCACAACCTCAGAATTCCTTATCTCACTATTGAATCAACCCATGAACATGGTCTTCTTAAAATATTTTCTAGAAGGACAGAGTGGTTTTCTAGGTGCGTTTCCAGATACGCCACACAGAGTTTATGGTATCATACTGAGGACAAGAGTAAGATTCATAATGACCTTTAAAGATCTATTAGGATCCCCGGCTACCTATGAAGCTGGCTTTAAACATCAAAGGCGTGAGTTGTTCAATGCAAATTAAAATCCGTACTCTTCATTATTCAGTCAACATAAAACATGGCAACTAGCAGACTTATCCAAGGTTTCACTAGTGGGACTCTTCTTTTAAAGCTTTGAAGTCCAGCCATCATTTGAAACCAGTACCAGAAAATTCTAGTAGTGCTGGTATTCACAAAGTAGGCCTTCCCCAAAAGAAACATTGGAAGTAAATTTGAGTTCTAGTTCTACCATCAATTTTATACGGAATCTTCATTATTTTATAAATGTTCAGGCGTCTCCATTCTCCACCCATGTTAAGAAATTATATTTAATACATACTGGACATCTATCCTAGAAATAAGCTTTAATTTCACAAAGTATTCTTTTTGTCTCTCTCCTCCAGTTTCAAGTTTACCCTTAAATTGTATTTTTGCTTCAAGATTCACTAAATCTCACTACTCTTCATTCTTACTAAAGGCAGGTATGTATCCAAGGAACACAAGGATGGGAAGACTTAGGCTTTAAGTGAAAAACACTGAAAACTATTTCATAATATTTTTCAAAGCAGTATGATGATGCAGTGGTTAAGAGCATGGATGCTAGATCTAGCCTGTCTGGGTTCAAATCTCAGCTTCACCACACTTACAAGCTGGGCGAATCATCTAATCTCTCAGTGCCTCAGTTTCTCCATCTGTAAAAACATGAATAAATAATAATAGCTATTTCCAAGGCTTGTTCTGAGGATTAAATGAATGTATGTAAAACTCTTGGAAAGGGTGCCTGGCACAGAGCATGCTACATCCATGTAGTGATCATCATTATTATCAGAAAACCTTTTGGATCTTTGGACCCAAGGCAGTAATAGGTTGGTCCAACCCTGAGAAGTTCAAGAAGAGGAGGCTGACATCAGTTTTAATTTGGTTTGATATTCTGTGTAACAAAGTTACTTATGTGTTAACAGCTTAAACAGCCAAAAGTCAGATAAAAGATGACAATGTCAATTACCTCGGTCATTCTCAGGCTCTTTTGTTTCACTGTTATCCTGTGTCCTCCCAGGGTTCCCCAAGGCAGGCTTGGGGGCGGATACACTTACTGATGCTGAGTGAGCTACCTGTGGAAAAGGGCCAGATAAATGGGGAGGAGTGGGCTGTCGGGGGTGGTAAGGCACACCTGGTGGGCAAACACGGGAGGAAAGCTGCTGCATGGCAATCATCTCTGGGCTGTCCATCATGGAGTCCCCTCCTTGGACCCCCCGCAGAGCCTGGGAAGGTGCTCCAAACAGAGAACCATGTGCTGTGGCTGGAGGCTGTAACCGATGTATAGCAGATTTACAGGGTGGGCGCAGATACCCTGATGAAGGAACTCCATGAGGTAGGAAGCTTGACTGTTCAGTCCACTGGTTTGGAGGGAGAGGTGGTCTCATCACTCGGGAATCCATCATATGACCAAGAGTGTGAGGCTGGTGAGAGGGTCCTGGCCCCAGGGAGGGCTTCTCATCTGGCCCCAAGGGTCCTGGGTTTGTAGCACCATGGTTCCCATTCCAGACAGCAGAGTGCACTCGATTCAGGTACTTGTATGATCGGTACATGTGGCTTGGAGGAATTTCTGAGCTTTCGGGAAAGTCTGGGGGTCGGGCTGGAGTCCCACCATGCCTTGGAGGAATAAATCCTGGCTGGAATTGAGCTGGGGGATACATGTTTCCATCCTGACTGGGGCCACTCATCTGCCCAAGCTGCAAGGATCCAGGATGTGAGCCCATGTTAGAAAAGTGTGTCAGCCCCCCACACATGTGTTTCTCTTCAGGTGCTCCTAGCCTGGGTCCTCGGTGGTTGTTCATTCCAACTGGAGGCTGGAAGAAGAGAAGAGAAGAGAAGAGAACAGAGATCATCAGACTCACAGCTTAAGGCAGGTCTTGTAATGTGCTTCACCTACAGGGACAGACTCTTCCGGATAGGAAATGGTGAATTAAATTTAACATGGGAAGAGGCTGTATTTCTGAAACTTACCTCTGGGGTCCTCTGCACCTGCATTTTCTGAATAGGCTGCTTACCTGCATGGCAAAGGGTTGATGCTGCTGAACAGGCTCTCCAGGATGTGGTTCTGGGACTCTAGAGGAACCATATAAAATGGCAGGATCTGATCCCTGAAGAGGGCCAAATGTTCCTGGTACTGCTGGCCTCTGGAGGCCATTAGGGAAAGCAAGAAGGAAACAAAGAGAGAAAGCACAGACATTAGGTAGAGAACTGGGACTTGCCTGAAGAGGAGAAGTACTGTTAAAATAACAGTAACACAGACCACTAACAACTTGGCATACAGTTCCAAGAAAGGGAAGATTGCTAGCACATGAGCTTGTCTAGACCAGGATTAGCCCGAGATCAAAGCAATTTCCATCCCTAGGAGACAAGATTAAATCAGTGTTTCTCAATCTCTTCTTTAGTATTGCCCCCTAAGGAGCCCTTCTGGAGTCCCTGCGTGGTCCAAATGGTTAATGTGCTTGGTTGCTAACGGAAAGGTTTGAGTCCACCCAGAGGTGCCATGGAAAAAAGATGTGGTGAGCTACTTACAAAAACCAACCAGTGAAAACCCCATGGAGCACAGTTCTACTCTGAAACACATGGGGTTGCTGTGAGTCAGAACTGACTTGATGGCAATTGGTTTAGTTTTGGTTTTTAAGGAGCCTTTTTTGCCATTTTTATCCCTAATCACCCCCCACCATGAAATTTTAACACCACAGAAAGACTGTATATAAGTTTGTGTAGTGTACATGTATCTGAGCTTTATACACAAAAGGAGTAAGATATTTTTCACCCCCCCCCACCCCAAGAACCAATTTTTGTCCATGTTGAGAATGCACGGATCAAAGGATTAAGAGAAAGGAGGATTTAAAATAAGGGAAGAAGAAAGGGCAGAGGGGGGAAAGAGAAAACATCCATATACAAAAAAACTATTTTGGAAGTTGAGCTAATAAAATAACCTTTACTTCCCTAAGAATTCACCATCTAGGGGAAACCACAACAGAATTTAGGCTATTCCTTACCATCTGGTTTAAAAGAGGTGCCTGGTTGGGCACCCCACCGTAATGCAGGGAACGAGAAAAGCCTTGGCCGTTGGAAGCGCCCACCTCTCGGGGGGGCTGCAAGGAACTGCTACTCTGATCGTCCCCAGAAGAGGAAGCACGACGGCGTGCAGGTGGCAGTGACTTCCCTCCATTCTCCACGGGCTGCTGTTTCCTGCCTAGCCCATCGGGTTCTCTGGAGCGGGTCCAAACATGGCTCCCACTACTTCGTCCAGCGCGACTCCGTTTCTTCTCCCGCTTTTCATCCTCTCTGATCCAAAATTCTTCATCTGTGTCTCCATCTTCGCCAGGAAAATGCTTCATCATCGCCCGATGGAAACACCTCTCTAAATTGTCAGACATCTTGGTATACTCTATAGTCACAGGAAGATACAAGGATTGGCCTCCATGTAGTTTTTATAGGCTACAAGACAACTGTCTTACTAATAATTGAGATAAGATGCTATTGGGGTAAACCTTGGGTTTAATTCAACTTGAGTGCATATTATATTCCAGGAGTATGGATACAAGACATGGTTTCTGTCCACAAGAAGCTCAAGGGGGTATGGCTATGACAATGACTCTAGGATTATTATCTCAAACCAGTAAAAATTTAACTATTTAAGGCATCAGCAACCTTCTACAAAATGATACATTTCTTTCAGCCTAAATCCCCAGATATTCCCTTATTGAACATTTCCCCTGAAAGTCTTTATAATTAAGTTAAAAGTAGAACACAATATAGGGAGAAAATCCAAAGAGCTAAATTCCAGAAATATTAAATCCAGTGAGTGGATCTACTGAGTTCTCAGACTAAGACATTTTGAGTGAAAAATTCAGACATCTCCAGAAATATAAACTATACAAAAATTGTAAATAAACTTGTCTAAAATGTATTGTTTGCTTTTCAAACATTTCAAAAGCAGTGTACTGGTACACAGGGGGTGGGTAAGACAAATAAGTATGATGGTGGAGAGCATCCCCATGAGTTTGAGAGGATAACACAAAGTTTCTAAGTTTGGCAGAATGCATAAATGAATCAGTTTCTGTATGTGGGAGCCATAATCACTTTATCAGAGTGCTATTCTGCTGATTTCTCAATATGGTTTGAGAGTCAGCTCCATGTAGGTTCAGCCTAGTCTCTGGGTAACTGTGTTATGGAGGCACAGTACAATCTAGGCCCAGACTGGTCTCTGGGATGATGAGAAATAACCTGAGACCATAAGCTGCTAGCTGCCCTCTCTCCCAGTGTGGGATAGGAGAGAATTCCCGCCGTATAGCATGTAAGTGGTCAGAACAGCCAATCCCACGGCTCTTAACATGCATTCCCTTTATAGTCCCAAAGAAAGGCCTGAATCATTAGGATGTGTATTTCTAAAAGAGAAGACATTTTATTCTTGATTATAATGGCAGAGCAAATGTGCATCCAGAACAAACCCCCTCCCCACTTACCACTACTTTCCCCATTATATTTTCGACAATTCCTGAACATAGTCTTCATGTCATTTACAAATTCCTCCTTGGTACAGTATAAACCTCCATTCAGTTTCTTCTCCATACTTGAAATATCCATGGGGACCTAGAAAAGGCCATATAATTGTTTAATTATAATATACTGGAGAAAAACAAACAAACATCTCTTAGTCCCCATGAGGTTAAGGAATCATGCTGTTATGAGTTGCCCTAGAGCCCGATATACATCCAGCAGCAATGATTTTTAAGGAACAAATAGTTAAAGCAAGATGAAATAACAACAAAAACCAAGAAAGACATCTATGCACAACAGATACAATTAAAAAGATAGCCTCTACCTTAATAATCTGGTAATAGTTAGGGGCATAAGATTCATCCACAGGTTCCAAAAAAGGCCAGGAATCCTTGTGAGCCTTTACCACATCTAGAACTGAAAGACAAAGAGGACAGCTTACTTCACACACACACACAGGAATACTTCTATCAGAAACATAACAGTTGAGAATCGGAACTGACCTTTATACATGGCAGTGAAATCATCATCCAACTCAAAGCTGTAAATCGTAAAACAAGAAATTAATAGTAACTCTAATCACCTTCTTTTCTTAGCTCTCTTAGTTTAATCATAGTCACAGATGACTGAATCAAGATTTGAAATATTCCTAGTAGTTTTACTCAGACAGTCTGTAACACTGGTAATACTCCCTAAAAATATGAAGACAAGGGATTGTGTACCTTAGCAAAAATGGAATAATTTTTCTCATCTATAAAATGATGATGTTGGCCTAGATCATCCAGAATTCAAACTATGATTTTAAAATGTTATTTAACAGTATATTCCTTCCCAGATTTTATTTCACTCCAATGAATATTTTTATGATGTAAAGAATAAAAATCCAAAATATATAATAAAATACAATTTTTACATATCACCATCACTTAATTGGAATTCATTTTGTGATGTAAAAAATTATTAGAACCAGAAGCTCATGAGCACTGAATATTTATTTAATTGCTTGCTTGTTTCTTGAATTTTTAATAAGTAGCAAAAAAGGACAAAGCACCTAGTTACTTCACAAGAAATAATTGAAAAACTCTAGTACATTGCTCTTCACACTTCCAAGAAGCAATTTCACATCGTAATATTGGGTCTGATTTCATTAAATTAAAGGGTTGGAGGAAGAAGGAGAGCTTTGTGAAAAATATCACTGTGCTCCTATACAGTGAGAGCAAGAATGTGAGAGAAAGGAGGAGAGGGACACAGTTGTGTATCTATGTGCATAGTTAAAAGCGTTGGTGTAGGTTCAAGTCTCATGTCTGCCACTTGCTATGTTTTCCACACTTTAAAATGGTGATACCATTGCCTACTGCATAGGGTTGTGAAGGATTAAATGATAAACAAAAATGTGGAACACAATGCCTGAGTGCTAATAAATGTTACCAATTGTTAATGTTGTTATTAAATACTCACAGGTCCTTAGTCTTTTTTTCTTCCCTCATGGGGGAATTGGGGTCCAGATGTGAAAGTTCTGGGGGGAGCTCTTTTCCTTGAGCCAGCAGCCATGCCCGTTCTTCCCTGAGCTTTCTCCTCTTAGCTCGATCTACAATGAACACAAAACATTATGGTACAAAAGTTAAGTACCCTATAGATGGTTAGATGTTTATTAATTGTTTTGAGAGAAAGATGAAACAAATATCACTGAAGTACTGCCACGGAATTATTTTGCTCCTCCCTTTGCTACACTGTTTTTGGTAGTTAGAATGTCTCTGTAGATGGAATACTTTATGAAAAATATAAAGTAGTGGGACCCATTCCCCTTACTCATGCTGTTCTGAAATTGGATGGTGGGGTGGGGGTGGGGGAGAGAGGGCAAGTTAGAAGAAAACAGATAAAGAGAATTGGAAGAAAAAGGAAAAGGTATAAGGTTGAATAAGGATTATCTTTCTCTGATTACCAGAGGCATTTTCTTACCTTTCTCTCAAGAAAACTATGCCACTTTTTGAAGACCAGACTCTCAATCTAGACACACACCGCATTTTATACACACGCTCAAGCTTTTGCATTTATAGTGGCATCCATGCACACCAATTGTCTTTGCTCCTCATCCCCACCACTGGCAGCAGGCCCCTACCAAGCCCTCGGAAGTGCCAAGTCTGCCTGGGAACGAGGGAAATTTGCCAACTGGACCTGGTAAAGGAGCTAGGAGGCAAAGACAATTTTTTTTCTGGCTCATAGAGATGACCATGTGAAATACACTTAGTGTTCCACTTCTAGCTCCATAGGGCACTACTGCCAGCAGAGAACAAGGTCAAGCGTAAAGAAAAGAGGAGAGGAGAGGAAATGAAGAAGCAAAATGATGTCAGACAGCAAAAAACAAAGCTGGAAGGAATAGAAGCCAGGACAGATTGTCTATTTTATTCTCAATTCTAATTTCTGTTCCCCAAGGGAGAGGCTCTATACCTGATCATGGCTATCACATGGTGTGAAAACAATTTTCCCTGTCAAGTTCCATTTGAATTATTTTCATTTACAAACTCAGAGTAATCTATATCTGCTTTAATGAGTCAAAGGTACTTTGATATCACTGACTTTTATTAGTGGTTTTTTAAAAAAGAAAATGATTTCAAGTTTAAAGAAAATAAAAACAGAATGAATGAATACCACATGCACCTATCAAATGGTCAAATCTTACAATTCTACCTTATTTCCTTTAATATAGTATTTCATTATATGATTATACCACAAGCTCATAATCCATTTTCTAGTTGACTTCAATGTTTGAATTTTACTAACAATACAGTAATGGACCATTCATTTAACATGTCTTCTCATACATGTGTGAGTTCTCTAGGATGCAAACCTAGCAATAGAATTGCTAGATAGGAGACTATGTTTATAATAACTTTATCAGGCACTGTCAAAGTGCTGTCCAAAGAAGTTTTATAAATAATTCTTCCAACAATGATTTCAATTACCTCACACTCACTTGGTATGATAAAATGTCAAAATTTTTGCCCAACTGATGGGTAGGACATAGAATTTTCTTGGCTTCATTTGCATTTTTATGATTAGAGTAATACTGAAAATCTTTTAGTGTTTACTGGCCATTTAGTTTCTTTTTCTGTGAATTTCCTGTTACATACTTGGCTGCCTTTTCCATAGGTCGCTGGATTTCTTACCGATTTAGAGAAGTGCATTTTATAATCTGAATAATAACTCTTTGTTATGTGTTAAAATTACCTTCTTCCACTGTGGTTTGTCTCTTAATTTTGTTTATGGTGCTTCTATAATATGTAAGTTTTCAAAAATGTAGTCAGACAGATCAATCTGTCTTCTCATGGTCATAAGACAGTTGCAGGTAGACTATAAAGACTTAATTTTTCTGAAAAAATTGTTGAATATCTTCAAGATATTGTGAGACGGAAGAACTTATTATATGAGAAGGGATATAATTTTTTCCCCTACAATAAGCAATCATCCTGACCTTACTCACTGAAAAACCCATCGTCATCAGATTTTTACCTAGTGCTTTTTAGCAGCCATTGCTGATTAACCAGGGTTTCAAGAGCAATTAAGATGTAGAGAAAAATATACTATTTTCTCAATACTTCTAAGGATGTTATATGCCTAGTATTTTTAAAAATTTAATTCATTGCATACAACGTATGCTGCTTTAGGTCTGCAAACAGCAAACTACAGCGTGTAGGGCTGCTGCTTGCTTTTGTATATAAAAGTTTTAATGGAACACAGCCTGTATGGCCTCCAAGTCTACAATATTTACTGTCTGGATCTTTATAGAAAAACTCGGCTTACATCTGGCTTTAGGGCATTAGGGCTTAATTATCTCCTGGAATCTCGATTGAGAAAAGCTTTGTCTAGATCTGTTCTTTCATTACTTGTTACTCTATTATTCCTAATGCATTTATTGACCAGAATTATTTTTTGTCATCAATTATTTGAATATCCTGAAATAGTTTGTAATGAAAAAAGTTAAATGCTTGATTCTTTCCCTCTATTTTACCAGTTTTCAGAATAACAAGTTGTTGTCTTATTAACCTCCTAAGGTCACCAGTGATTTTTAAAAACCTTTATTATGAAGCCATGAGTTTTCAACTAATTTAATGTTTCTTAACCTATTGGGTGTTTTTTTTTTTTAATTTTTTTTTTCTTTAAAATGCTGAAAGTGGAGGGGCGGAGCCAAGATGGCGGTGTAGTAAGACGCTTCCTATATCCGTCTTACGATAAAGACCTGGAAAAACAAGTGATTTGATTATATATGAATATCTAGGAGCCCTGAACAAGGCAAAGTTGAGGAATCGGACTGACTGGCAGGGTGAGAGGGAGACGGTTCGGAAGAAGCCAGCAGCACCAGAGCGGCGGCGGTGGAATGGCAACTCTTCAGCCACGCCAGCAACTTCTCAGCCGCGCCAGGTCCGCAGTGAAGCAGGCAAACACCTGTGCGCGTGCTCAGAAAGCAATTTCCACATGGAGGGAGATCCGGCAGCAGATTCTACTTGGACATTCCGAACCAGTGAAAAGCAGCTCCCAAGTGGCTAAAGATAAGTACATGTGTGCAGCCTTTCATGGGGATTTAAAAAAAAAAAAAAAAGCCCATTCCCAGTTTGGGAAAAACCTCTCTCCCTTTTACCTCCTCCCTCCACACTCTGCACCAAGAGTCCGCTGGGCTGGAAGCAGATCCCAAAAGGCACTCTGACCCATTCTCCTGGCCTTAAAGAGGGAACAAATAAGCTACTGGTTCCCCTAAGCCAGGAACACAGGGTCGGCACAGCTCCTTTGCTAGGCACAGGCATAAGGGGTCCGCAGACTCTGAGTGCCTTACACCCCTGTATAGACTTGTGGTGACCCATCTCAACAGCATTAGCCCTCACTACCACAGTACTACAGGGCAAACATCAACTATTTCAGCTGTGAAGTGGCAGATTTATGACCCTTGAAACAGCCCTGCCCCTTAAGTAGGCACTGTTATCAATCTGCAACAGGGGCTTGAGGACTGGTGGAGTCACGTAAACCTCCTAGTCACCTGTTACAGGAGTCAAAGAAAAAGTGGTGCCCTCGAGTCTTTACAGCCAACCGAGTGGGGTGTTCACAGTCCGGCTGCAAAACTCACCTACCTACTCACCCTAGAGAACAGGGACACGCTTTCCTTTCAGACTCTCAGGGTAAGCTGTCAGCCCCCTACCTGGCTCAGCACGTGATCCCCTACCACAGCCAGAGTCCAGTGCCTGAACCAATCACCCATGCCTCTCTAGGACTGTAGGTGAGAGCCTGCAACACACACTTGGTGACTGACTGCCTGGTCACCTGAGCTGAACCCATACCGGAAAATTTGACGGACTCCTGTGCGCACATACTTAGTTACAGAACTAACTACCTAGTGACAGGACGTTAGAGCTTCAAAGACGTCAATAATCAAACTAGCACACGTGAGCAGCCTATTGGGGCATATGAAAACAAAACAAAACAAGAAGCTAGGACTCACTAAACAAATATAAAATAAAATTATAATAACTTATTGATGGCTCGGAGACAACAGTCAATATCAAATCACTTAAAGAGGCAGTACATGATGGCTTCACCAAGCATCCAAAATAAAGAATCAATAAATTCTCTGGAGGAAGAGAATTTCTTGGAATTACCAGAGGCAGAATACAGAAGATTAATATACAGAACTCTCCTAGAAATTAGAGGGGGAAATTCTTCATAATGCAGAAACGGCCAGGGAACACACAGACAATGTAGTAGCGGAACATAAAAAAGTTATTCAAGAACATAATGACAAATTTAAGAAGCTTCAAGAATCCAGAAAGAGACAGCAATGAGAAATCCAGAAGATTAACAATAAAATTTCAGAATTAGACAACTCAATAGAAAGTCACAGGAGCAGAATTGAGGCAGAAGAAGTTAGAATTAGTGACACTGAAGATAAAACTCTTGCTGCCAACTTATTTGAGGAAAAATCAGATAAAAGAATCAAAAAGAATGAAGAAACTCTAAGAGTCACATGGGACTGGGACTCTATCAAGAGAAATAACCTACAAGTTATTGGAGTACCAGAACGGGGGGGATAACAGAAAATACAGAGAAAATTGTTGAAGATTTGTTGACAGAAAACTTCCCTGATATCATGAAAAATGAGAAGATATCTATCCAAGATGCTCATCGAAGCCCACAAAAGGCAGATCCCAAAAGAAAGTCACCAAGACATATTATAATCAAACTTACCAAACCCAAAGAAAAAGAATTTTAAAAGTGGCTAGGGATAAAAGAAAAGTCATCTACAAAGAAGAGTCAATTAGAATAAGCTCGAACTACTCAGCAGAAACCATGCAGGCTAGAAGGCAATGGAATGACATATATAAAGCCTTGAAGGAAAATAACTGCCAGCCAAGAATTATATATCCAGCAAAAGTGTCTCTCAAATATGATGGAGAAATTAGGGCATTTCCAGATAAACAGAAGTTCAGGGAATTTGCAAAAACCAAACCAAAATTACAAGAAATACTAAAGGGAGTCCTACAGTTAGATAATCACTAACACCAGATAACAACACAAGACTAGAACACAGGACAGAGCAACAAG